CACGCTACCACCAACTCCCATTAGTTCCTCCCTCTCGGTCTGTTCGTCTATCTCTACATCCACCGCATTTCTCTTTTAAATGCATTTATCCCAACTACCTTGAGTCATGATTTTTGTTGATGTTGTGTATTCTTATGCATGCAAAAATAAACAAAAAAGCGAAACCTTAAAAAAAATTTGGAAAACAGTGTCATAAATTGCCTTCGTATCTCTAGGCGTGCATTATGTGAATTTAACTTACGCGCATGTAAAAATGCGTTCACTATCTAGATGCGCATATTTGTGCACAGCAAGCAGAAACTGCACCCCTTCCGTCGCCTCTTTCCTTTCAGGTTCCTCCCTCAATTACATGAATCCCCATTGAATCCCCTCACTAGCGGACCGTGCTCTCAACTTCTCGTCAGCGGGCATTGCCCATCAATTGAAAACCGACAAACCAAGATCCGGGGCCATTGGGCTTAGCCTCGAAACCGTGAAATACTTCAAGACTACAACAGCNCTAGGCCTAGACAAACCTACTTCCAACCTTTCGAAAGATTCAGAAACCCCACAAACCCTATCTTTAGTTTGGTTTCCGCCTGGGACGGATATTCAAAACGAACGTAGGCAAACATTAGTGACAGGTTCTGACGAACATCAGCATTCATCGAGTCACAAAATTGGTGAGCCCGCTTACAACGGCGTCCGTCCATTTTTGGGAATCATCAGATTTTGTTGAGTCCGCTCCATATATTTGGAATTTTTGAACCACTTTCTATTCGCTTAGAAAATTTTAGCGATTATTTTTTGGTATTTTCAATTTACCGTTATCGTTGTTTGAACCCTTCAATGTTTTTGATGGAGTTATTTAGGGATTGCTTATTCTACTTAAATTATTCATTTTTCTTATTTTCGTTATGGATTTGTTAGATTTATCTGACGAACCCGCTACCATGGTGGTCGCCACATTCCAGCCCCGCCCTTTTGGGCATCCAACCCTAGGGCGTGGTTTGCGGTTCTGGAATCGCAGTACGCGACTAGGAACATTAGGTCTTCGACGACTAAGTTCCATCACGTCGTTTCCTCGCTGCCTGAACGCCTGGTAGCCGAGGTCTTGGACGTGGTTTTAGAGCCGCCCGAAGATGGGCCATTTGAAGCACTACGGGACGCCATATTAGAACGCACAGGGAGCTATAACAAAGAGCGAATCCGACGCGTACTACAGGATATGCATTTAGGCGACCGCAAGCCTTCACAGCTCTATAGGCTAATGTGTAACGAAGTAGGCAATATACCACACGACGACGCGTTCGTTAGGGAACTGTGGTTACAAAAGTTACCACAGGACGTTCAATTCCTTCTTGCGCCAGCGCAAGACATGCCCATAGAGCATTTGACGGTTATGGAAGATCACGCCATGCAGTACCGTCAACCCTCAGTCACCACGGTTACCACCGCCGTCCCTCCAGCCACATCCATCGACGTCCTTTTTCAGGCTTTCACCGAGAAACTTAGTGATTTCAACACGGATAGAAGGTCCAGGGGAGCCCTGTTTAGTGGGAAACCGAAATTCAGCAGTCGCCGTGGGTCCAAGTCGCCGAACAATAGTCCGAAGTTATGTTGGTACTACGCACGCTATGGTAAGGATGCTGCAAAATGCATCCACCCATGCTCGTGGAAAGATCAACCTCCTTCGGGAAAAGACCAGACCAACGGTTGATTACGGCTTCAACTGTTGGCACACGAACTAGTAGCCGCCTTTTTCACGTCAAGGACTTTATTAGTGGTGTGTATTTCTTAGTAGACCCCGGTGCGGAAGTGAGCATCATTCCTCCTTCCTCCACTGAAACTAGGCTTCCAGCTCAAGCACTCACCTTGACTGCGGCCAATGGTTCCGCAATACGTACATTTGGTACCAGGGACCTCACAGAAGATTTTAACCTATCTAAAGAAGTTGAGTGGCCATTCTTGATTGCTGAAGTCCTTTTCCCTATTCTTGGAATGGATTTCCTAGCCCATCACGGCCTTATTGTGGACACAGGCAAACGCCTGCTGCTCGACAGCATCAACTCTGTGAAAGGGTTAGCAACTAACACAGTGGCAACAAGCCCCGTCTTAAACAACGGTCTTCATTTTGGGTTGCAACGATTGTTAGAAGGTTGTTCTCAACCAGTTTCTACCATCTTGCCATAGGGCAACACACCGGTTACCCATACAATCGTCACACGCGGCCCACCAGTACATTCCCGTGCACGTCGTTTAGCTCCGGACAAGTTGGTTTTAGCCAAAAGGAAGTTCGAAGCAATGCCTAAGGCAGGTATAATACTCCCATCGCAAAGCCAGTGGGCTTCGCCACTCTATATGGTGCCTGAGAAGGCTGCTGGGGAATGGCGCCCATGCGGAGATTATCGTGGACTCAATAGTTCCACCATCCCGGATCGCTATCCAATCCCGCACATCCCCGATTTAACAGCTCGCCTTAAGGGTAAGTCAATCTTTAGCAACATTGATTTGGTTAGGGCTTATAAAACCAAATACCTGTCTACTCGGGGGATGTCCCTAAGACCGCTGTCATCCCTCCATTTGGTCTTTTCGAATTTCTTTCAAATGCCGTTTGGATTACGCAATGCCGTTTCAACGTTTCATCGATGAGGTCCTCCGCGGATTAGATTTGGTTTTTCCGTATTTAGGCGGCATACTTGTCGCAAGCCAGGACGCCGCCGAACACGAAGTGTACTTACGCACACTTTATCAACGTCCACAGCAACATGGTATTACCGTTAATGCCGCCAAGTGCGAATTATGTCGTGAATCCTTAGTTTTTCTAGGTGACCATATTGATCGTCAAAGATCCCGTCCGGTCGAAGACAAAATTGCAGCGATTCGCGATTTTCCTCCACCTATGACGGCGACCGAACTACGTAGTTTCTTAGGGGTGATCAACTACTATCGTAGGTTCATACCACAATGCGCTCAGGTAGTTCGTCCACTTACGGACTTACTCAGAGGAAACCCCAAGCTTATCGAATTGAAGCCATCAGCACAGCAGGCTTTTGATGCCATTAAATTAGCAGTCTCCAATACTGTTTTGTTGGCACATCAGGACCCTGGTGCAAAGCTAAGTTTAGCAGTAGACGCGTCAGACATCGCATCCGGTGCAGTCCTCCAACAGTGGAAAGATAGTGACAGCAACCTTTAGGTTTCTACTCGCAACGTTTTTCAGACGCAGCCACTAGGTACAGCACTTTCGGTCGGGAAATATTCGCAGCATACCTGGCTGTTCGTCATTTTCGTCATTCACTAGGTCGTGATTTCATCATCTTCACTGATCTTAAGACGCTCACATACGCTCTGAAGTCCTCTAGTGACAGATACTCTCCTTGAGAGATATGTCACTCGGACTACGTGTCGCAGTTTACGACTGACATTCGACGCGTTGCAGGTATGGATAATGTCGTTGCCGACGCTCTCTCGCGCATAGC